AGAATTACCTGCAAGATTTCTCTAACTCTATACATTTTTACTTTCAAGGCTAACTTACTTCTCTTTACCATCTGGCTAATATTCCTGTTTTATATTTACAATTACCTGCATTTTTTATTCCGGAGTTTAACACATTACATTTTACTACTTTATCACCTGACTGACATTACAGCCTCATATCTATTGTGTGCATTTTCTCTTACTTTAAGTGTTAAATAACCCACTTTACCAATTTTTGTCAGCTGCTGGCTGACGTTTTTCTATTTGCCCATCTTCCATCACTTTAAGGGTTAAATAACCTGCTTTACCTATTTTTGTCTTATATATATTTTGTGCACATTTTTGCTTTAAGGGTTAAATAACCCGATTTATCTTTTTTTCGTCAGCTGCTGGCTGACGTCTTCCTATTTTTATATTACATATATCTGTTTCCTATTTCTACAATTATGTATAGTTTTATTCCTGACTTAACGCTGTTCACTCACCACATTCGGCCACTTCTTTCTTCTCCAACCGGTTCGCCCTCGACGACTATCTCTTTGAATTGTCCAAGCCTCTGCCTTGTCCATTTGTTCGTGGTGTCCATGGCTTCTTCTCCCATTCTCAGGCCCCACGTTGGGTGCCATTTTGTCATGACCCAGCGTGTCTCAGCCTTAATCCATGAGGTCAGGCCTGAGTGGGGGGGGTGTGGACCTGGAAACTCCTAGCAACCCAGCGGCATCTTGTCATCCTTAGAGAGCTCTCAGTTCCATGATGCAGAACTGGGGTCATTTCTTTATTAGCCATCTTTTCTGGTGTTTCTTAACCATCCTGTCATGACTACGAGGGAACCATCTCTCTTTGTTCTCCCTGCTCTGGTCTCTAGCCCCTGACTCCTAACCTTCAGTCCTTACAAGTTACTCACACCTCTGCTCTACCTGCCCAGGTGAGGGCTTATTCAGATAGAGATGCAAATTAGGAGGCATATTACCCTGAGGCCATGGTAAACAATAGTAGCCCTACTGGCATTAACAATACAATAGTGGGCCAGAGCTTTCTGGTGCTCCATGTTTAGTGAAACCAAAGGCTGGGTCTCAAAATATTCCATAGTGGAAATATTTTGGTCCCCCACACTTTGTCACCCTCCAGGCACTGACTGAGTCACACAGACTGAGGCCTGGGTAGGGAGGAGAGAGCTCTTGGGAAGTGAAACAAACTTTATATATCCTGGAGGAAATTTGCTACTGGCTTTTACAGCTCTCAACAGCTGCTTGAGAGAGAAGGTTGTGACATACCATGCCTGTCATGTTTATTCTTGATTTCTCCACTGTTTTCACCCGGTAGCCCAGTGAACCAGAAGCTCCAGAAGAAAACAACCTGTCCCAGATGCTAAACGAGTTGCAAGTGTCGCATGCAGAGACTACACTGGAACTAGAAAAGACCAGAGACATGCTCTTTCTTCAGCGCAAAATCAACGTATGCTATCAGGTGCAAGGAAAAGATGGCTCAGGAAAGGGACGGGAAGCTGGGCATGTGGGACCACACACACAGTGGGAAACAAGTGAGGCCCAGGTTTCTAGGGCTGATGGTTAGGGATGTGCTCTCCGTGGAAGAACTTGAGGGCTCACTCACACGTGCCCAGACACCCAGGCCCTACAAGTCAGCTAAGGGGCAGCTGATAAAATGGCAAGTGCTAAACTTCTGGGCTCATTTCTCCCCAGAGTCCTAGGGAAATAATCACCTTAGGGTGCCCCAAGTGCAGCTAGGTGTGAAAGTTCTTGGAGAACCTAAGCTTTCTTCCTGGATCAACCCCCCATCTCCTGCTGAGGAGGTGGTGGTCTCCTTCCCCCAGCCAGATCCAGTTTTAAAGTCAAAGATCTTTGGTTCTGTGCCACTGAGAGGAATGTTCAGTGTTTACTTTGTTTCAGGAGGAGATGGAGGCAATGATGACAAAAGCTGATAATGAAAACAGGGACCACAAAGAGAAACTGGAGATGTTGAATCACCTCCTAGACCTCAAGAACAGCCGCATAAAGCTACTGGAAGGTATTTTAAGAAGCCACGGTCTTCCAACATCTGGCAAGTCTTAGTTCTTTGTTTTTATCTTGGGTAATGTCACAAGACTAACAATGATCGGCCTGACTTATTTTCTCCTGCTTTCTTCCTCTTATCTCTGTTTTGTTTTGTTTTGTTTTTCGAGTCAGGGTTTCTCTGTGTAGCTTTGGAGCCTATCCTGAAACTCGCTTTGTAGACCAGGCTGGCCTTGAACTCACTGAGAGTCCCCTGCTTCTGCCTCCTGATTGCTGGGATCAAAGGCTTGTGCCACCACTGCCCAGCCATCTCTGTGGTTTTGATATGTGGTTTGTTACTTCTTTTTCTTCATCTGGTCAGTGTGAGTCTCTGATTTTTCTGGAGAATTTCAACAGGGCCTGTGGTGCTTCCAGGTGATTGGGAGAGTGTCATTAAGGATGACCCTAAACCTGGTGACTCTCTCCTTCCTTCTCTGTCATTTCTTCAGCCATGCCTATCAGCCTCTAAGGCAGTTCTTGCCAGGTAATAGGTCTTTGACACTCATATCCTGTCATTCTTTCCTGTGATGTCTCTCTGTGTTGTAATGTAAGCATGTTAGCAGAGGCAGGGGAGGTGTCACCCAGTGTATTTCCTATTCCTATTCCTATTCCTTCCCATGTATATTGTCACTTCAGGACAGGGTCTAGTCTCAACCTTGCATGTCTAGAAGTGGGCTTTGTTCTTATGCTCAGTGAGGGGAGAGATGACTTAACCACACCAAATTCACCTCAGTCTGAATCTTCAAGCATAATACAAGTCACTGCCATCAGCATTTGAGGAGCCACTGTGGAGTGGGAGGTGGCATAGTTTTTCCCTGTATACCACTTGGCTTTATTATTATTATTATTATTATTATTATTATTATTATTATTTTTTTTTGGTTTCTCAAGACAGAGTTTCATGGTGTAGCCATGACTTTCCTGGAACTCACTTTGTAGACCAGGCTGGCCTCAAACACACAGAAATCTACTGGCCTCTGCCTCCTGAGTGCTGGGATTAAAGGCGTGTGCCCCTGAACCTGACTATTTTACTTTGTAATCAATGCTGCTTCAGACTTGCAATCCTCTTGCCTGTTTCCCAAGTATGGAGAATACAGGTATTCACCACCACATTTCTTTTTCTTTTTAAAAACATTTACTTACTCTGTGTGTGTGTATGTATGTGTGTGAGAGTCATGGCACACTTATGGACAACCCATGGGAACTGGTTCTCCCCTTCTATCATGTAGGCTCTACAGAATTAAGCTCAGGTCCTTAGGCTTGGCAGCGAGCATACTTACCTACTGTGCCGTCTTGACAAGCTCTCCCCTGCCCACCTTTAAACATGAAGACATTGGGGGTGCCGGAGAGATGGCTCAGTAATTAACAACAGTTGTTCTTGCAGAGGACCTGGCTTCAGTTTCCAGAACTCACATGCAGGCCAGCAACTATCTGTAACTCCAGTTCCAGAGGGTCTAGCAGCCTCCTCTGTCCTTGTGGGCACATATGGTATACAGACATATGTACTGGGAGAGCACATAAAATAAAAAAAAAAAACAACCTTAAACATTTTTTATTTATATAGGTGTTTTCCCTACATGGATGTCTATGTATCTTGTTTGTGACTGCAAAGATTAAAAGAGGGTATCAATCCAGTAGAGCTGGAGTTTCAGACAGTTATGAGCTAGTTACCTTGTAGGCACTGGGAATCAAATTCAGTTCTTCTGGAAGAGCAACCAGTGCTGTTATTGGCTGAGCCATCTCTCCAGCTACCACCACAATCCATTCTTTTAAGAAGAATTTATTTTTAGTTTTACTTATTTATGGTTATGTATGTGTTTGTGGAAATATATGTGCATGTGTGCAGGTGCCTACAAAGACCAGAAGAGAATGTTGGATCCCCTGGAGCTGGAGTTACAGGCAGTTGTGAGCCACCTTACATGGGTGCTGAGAATTAAACTCAGGTCCTCTGGAAGAGCAGTGTGTGCTCTTAACCACAGAGTTGTCTCTCCAGACCAATAAACAAACAAACAAACAAATGAATAAGTAAACATTTCAGGATACCCAGAATATTTTTATTCTACTGATTTAACTCCCTCCTCCTCTTCCTCTTTCTTCTTCTCCTCCCTAAAACCCTGTAGCCCTGGCTGTCCTGGTACTTGCTCTGTAGTCCAGGCTGGCCTCAAACTCACTTAGATCCTCCTGACTGCTTCCCAAGCACTGGGATTAAAGGTGTGTACCACCACTGCCTGGATAGATTTAACTCTTAAAGTGAAGTTTCACCATCAGCACACTGTAAGCATTCAGTTGTTCCCAATGTGAAGTAAGCCTACAACTGAAAAGGTTTCTGATTAGTTGGCCTTGAGAACAGTTTACAGATTCGGTTCTGTCTCCTTGTCTTTTGTCGTATTGACAGTATTTTCAACCTCTTTCCTGTAAGTTTTCCGTCTTATATTTTAACTCATTACCCTTGGATTAAAAGTGGATTTCTTGATTTCTTGTAATGGAATCAGTGTCGGAACAGAGAACAAGGAGCCCTCTTGTGACTGCGTGGGCTGGCTCTAGGCAGCCTTTCTAGGCGGCAGGGGATGATGTGGTAAACACTATCACTTCTTACTCTCTCCAAGGTCAACATAACAGTCTTTTGGAAACATAGTTTCTGTTTCCAGTGCTTGTCTTTCTGAGTAACCTGGGAATTCACAGGACCTTGATGCGAGTCACTGGCATCCGGTAGTGTTCACTTCCCAGTCCTCACTCTGCGTTTCCTATGTGGCGGTCATTTGCCCTTTAGAAACCATTCAAAGCTTCTAGTTGTCATTGTGTTGAAGTTGTGCATTGCGGTGAAGGTATCAGATCCCCTAGAACTAGAGTCACAGACAGTTGTAAGCTGCCATATAGTTGCTGGGAATTGAGCCAGGTCCTCTGGAAGAACAGCCGATCAGTACTCTTAACCGCTGAGCCATCAACTCTCCAACCCCCATTGTGTTGCTTTTCTCCTTGCATGGCTTCTTGAAATAGTCTCAGCTTGGACTTCCACAGTTGTTTTCCTCCCGCTTATCCTCCATACCCCACGGATGAGCTCTCTCCCTTTTAATGCATAGGCAGTGTTCTTTCCCCTGTAGAGCAGCTCAGAGACATTGCTTATGGCACTCGGCAACCGTCATTGTGTCTGGAGTCACTGCCAGCCCACAGAGGTGAGGATGAAGTGGACATTTCTCTGCTGCATCGCAATGAGAATCTTTTTGAACTGCACATCCACCAGGCCTTCCTGACGCCTGCTGCCCTCGTACAGGCTGGAGATACCCAACCTACCACTTTCTGCACTTACTCCTTCTATGACTTTGAAACCCACTGCACCCCCCTCTCTGTTGGGCCACAGCCCCTCTATGATTTCACCTCCCAGTTTGTAGTGCAGACAGATTCCCTTTTCTTGCACTACCTTCAAGGAACTTCAGTCCGGCTCGATCTCCATCAGGCCGTGGCTAATGAGCATCATATCCTTGCCACTGGACGGATTTCATTTGACAAGGTGCTAGAGACTGTGGAGAAAGTCCATGGCTTGGCCGCACTTACTGGTAAGTGCCTTTGGCTTCTTGTAGTTCTTAGGACTAGAGGCTTTGGGAAAACAAAGAAATTGTCAAAGCTTGGAGCTACTTTCTAGTATTTTCCCTTTTCCATCTTCTGCCCCCAGGCTGGCCCTGGACTCGTGGCAATCCTCCTGCTTCAGCCTCTCAAGTGCTGGGATGTCAAGGCATTTCAGCAGCCAGCTTTCTGTTCCAGGCTTGACTTTTTTTTTTTTTTTCCACACTCTTATTTTCCATGCCTTTCATGCCTTTTGCTATTCAGGAGCTGGTGGAGAAGACTTGGGGGTGTTAGAGTACTGGATGAGGCTGTGCTTGCCCCTAAAAGCCAGCCTCCAGGCATGCAATAAGCAAAAGAAAGCCCAGGCCTACCTGTCAGCCAATGTGCTTGGAGCTTGGAAGGCCCAGAAGGATGAGGTGAGAAAAAAGATGTACTGATACGATCGCAGGTCATCAGCTGGTGACCCTCACAAAGGGCTTGCTCTCCTGTTCCCTATGAGTATTCGTGAATGTGAAATGCTGCTATATCAAAGTCAGTCCAGATTCTTCCCATGGTTAAACTTGAGCAGAAATGAACTTATGCCCAAGGTTAGATAAATTTTCTTTGGGCTGTGAACAAATTGGCTTTTCTCTATCATTCTCTTTTTGTAATCATTTTATTTTATTGGTTTTTTAAGACAGGGTTTCTCTGTGTAGCCCTGGCTGTGCTGGAACTTACTCTGTAGACCAGGCTGTCCTCGAACTCAAGGAGATCCTCCTGCCTCTGCCTCCCACGTGCTGGGATTAAAGGTGTGCGCCACCACCACCCAGCTGTAATTGTAATTTCTATTGCAATTAGTGATTGGCACTGAGCTGAGAGATGGCCTGTGGAGGGCTGTGCTTCCAGATACTAGAGTTGGGCAGGTTTGTTGCAGTCCCCCTATAAGGGAAACTCAGATGCAGTTCCAATACCCAGAGCCCCCACTCCATACTTATTTCAGAGTCAAGTCCCACTTGTCACCCTGTTACTAGGTGTCTGGCCTGGCAGTTCCCTCCTGCTGTGTGCGTTTTAATGAGCTTGGTGAGCTTCCTGTCCCTGTATGTCAGTCTTCATGAAAGTTGGAAATTGGGGGCCGTTAACCCTCAAGTATTCTTTTCACTCTAACCGTAGCCTCACACTAGTGTTCTAACTATTAGAGCTTGCAACACTGTCCCACAGGGAATATCTGTTTCTTCCATTTTGGTCACCATTTTTTTTTTCTCTCTAAGCTTTGGTTCAGATATTTCCCACCGCTATAATTTGACCGACATCCTAGAAACTAAAGTCTAATATTCATTCACAAGCAACATAAATTTATTTACTGTGTCTGTACATGCCACAGTATGCATGTAGAGGCCAGAGGACAGCAAAAATTCTCTTTTCCTAATGTGTGGGAACTGGGATCAAAGCTCACTCCATTCTCTCTGTCATTCAGCTTGAGGACGAGCCTACAGCCCCTGCAGCTACCAGAGCCAGGGACAGGCAGACAATGGTCATTAGGCTTCCTCATGACCTGGCAGAATAGGTTTCTTTCTTTTTTTTTTTTTTTTCTTTTCTTTTCTTTTCTTTTTTTTTTTTTAAGACAGGATTTCTCTGTATTGTTTTGGAGCCTGTCCTGGAACTCGCTTGGTACAGAATAGGTCTCTAAGTAACCGTTCTTCTTGCCTATGTGGGCTACACTTACAGCGGCATCTCAGGCTGCCCTGAGTCCAAGATCAACATCTTTCCAGTCCAGATCTGAGTCCTGGACACCTCGGAATGAACTGCGGATTGAAATCACTGGGTGCTGCGGCCTCCGGAGCCCATGGCTGGGAACTCAACCCAGCCCATATGCCATGTATCGCTTCTTCACCTTTCCTGAACATGACACCGTCGTCATCCCAGCCAGCAACAATCCATACTTTAAAGACCAGGCTCTGTTCCCAGTGTTTGTGACCTCTGACCTGGACCAGTATCTGAGGCAGGAGGCCCTGTCTATATACGTTTTTGATGATGAAGACACAGAGCTGGGCTCCTATCTTGGCCGAGCTCATGTACCCTTGCTGCCGCTCGCACAAAACAAATCTATCAAAGGTGGGCATTATACATTTTGGTGCTCTCCCCAGTGTCACCTCCCTGTCCTTACTCAACTTGCTTTGCTTACTTGCTTAGAATAGTCACTCTTCCATTTAAAAAATAGTTTTTTTTTTTATTGTGTGTGTGTGTGGGTGTGGGTGTGTGGGTGTGGGTGTGTGGGTGTGGGTGTGCACGCGCGCGCATGCGCATACATGTGGTGAGTCTCTGAGTGAGCATGCCCTTAGAGGTCGGAGGACAACTTTGCAGAGTCAGTTCTTTCTCCCATCTTTATGTGAGTTCTGGAGATTGAATTCAGGTCCCTAGACTTGTGTGGCAAGCACCTTTCCCTCCTGAGGTATGTCGGCCTGGAACAGTCTCTCTTAAAACCTGAAAGGACTCTGGGATGTTATCAAGAGGTTTACAGCTGCCTTGCTCATGTGAAAACATGAGCCTCTGCTCCTTTCAGCTGCACAGTCCAGATGTCCAAGAATCAACCCAAAGCCTGAATCCCATATCTCTATCTCTGAAAACCATTTTTTTAAGCATGGTGTCTTGTGCCTTTAATTCCAGCACTTGGGAGGCAGAGCACAGCCTGGTCTACATGGTGTGCTCCAGGCCACCTAGGGCTATATAATAAGCCCTTGTCTCACAAAACAAAAACAAACAAAAAGTGAACAGTAACAACAATAACAATAAAACCTCTTCCATACTTCCCACTACTTGCCTTGGTTTAAAGACTTGTTTCTTAGTTCACAACTAGAGATCTAAGCAAACCTTAACACTCCCTCATAATCTCATTGCTTTTACAGAGGTGGCCATGGCAGATGCCAACAAAGGCAAACTTTAGTGGTCTGGATCTAAACTCTATTCTACCTTCCTTATTTGCTTACTCAGTGTTGTAGGGTATGCCTAGGAGAGGCGTAGTCTGGCTTCTGTCTGGAGAGAGTTGAAGCGGTGATTTCCAGACTTTCACTAGGCAGTATATCCAGGATAGGCAGTGTCAACCAATTTAACGAGATTCTGAGAGCCTTTGGAGTATGTGACGCCTCTCTCTGGCGAGTGTCTTTAAAAAAACTAGATCTGACACTTCTGCCTGAGAGGAGAAGCAAGCCACCTGCTGTGTTGGGACACAAGCAGAAACCTGCCACTTGGAAAGAAGCCACTTTGCTTGTTTTCTTGGTTCCACTTTGCATAGGTGGTAGTTTTCTGGGGATGACCACAGCATAGTCAGTACTTAGTGACAGTGAAGACAATTGCGTCATGGTCACCAGCTGGATGGCTGGGGACAAGCAGGCTGCGTTCCTTTCCATGCACCTTTTGATCAGTTCTTTCTGAAGCTGGGAAATGCCTGTCCTCCTCTATGATACTCTCACTGCACTGCTGTTTTATGTTAATCTTGTATATGCTAGGAATTTTAATGTACGTTAATGAATTACTAACAAATGCAATGACTTTTTAAATGGGAAGAAATATAAATGATGCTCATAAATACGCACTAGCCTACCTCATGAGACCAGGGATGACCAGTTTCTCTGGGTCTCTAAGGTGATTTTAATCTCACGGACTCTTCGGAGAAGTCCAGCGGGTCCATCAAAGTGCAACTAGATTGGGAGTATGACTACATGTCCCCAGAGGTCCCAAATCCAGAAGCTAAGACGGAGAATGAGGAGGAGGAGGAAGAGGATGAGGAGGATGAGGAGGAGGAGGAAGAAGAGGAGGAGGACACCAAAGATGACTTGGAGGCCTCAACTACAGAAGAAATGGCCCCTTATCTTCCCCAGGTAACTAACTCTATAGCCTGCTGGATAGCAGAACTCTCTACATAAGCTGTGAAGCCAGTTGGAGAGAATAGGCTCAGGGCTGGAGTACAAGAAATTCCTTCATGAGTGCACCATGTAATCAAATATAATCTAGACGCTCCCAATGGAGCAGACCCTTGTGTAGAGGAGCAAGAGCAGGAGAGAAGGAAAACCAGACGTGGAGCTGTCACTGTTTAAGGCTGTCTGTCTCTGATTTGTCTGTTCAGGACCAGATGGCATCAATAGAGATTCCCATCGAGGCTGGCCAGTGTCACATGAGGAGAAAACCTCCTCCAACAGCAGAAAGGAAGGAGAGAGAACATCAGGTTGCAAGCTACTCAAGAAGAAAACACAGCAAAAAAACAGGTGGCCAAGACAAGAACCGAATGGAGTATCTGAGCCGTAACATCTTGAATGGAAACACACTGCAGGTAAGACCCCAGAGACTTGGGAGAGCAGGACATCTACGGCCACTAGAAGGGGGGATCAGCGAAGGCAGGAAGGCCACAGTGCCTCCAAGTTGCTTCCATATGCTTGTCCAGCGTTCTGGGTGGTTGCCTCCTATCGGTGTAATTTAACCCAGCACATTAATGCTGTGCACGTCTCTAAAAAGGGCTGGCTTTTTAAAGGTTGAAAAGGCTAGTCTTAAGAAAGAAAAGTGAGCTATCGCACCACTTGCACTCCTGTCCTTGCTCTGAAGCAGGTGCACTACACTGAGTTGAAGTTTTCAGGGCTCAAGATGTCCCAGGATGATGGCTTTAAAATCCAGGACAAGAAAGCAAAAACACCACCATCCCAGCCATCACCGAAGCAGGAGGATCCCTCACATCCTACAAAAGGTATTGTCTTTCTAAGATCAAATTCTTCTATTTCATCGTTGAATTTTTTTTAAGAGTATCTATTTTTATCACTCTTATTGTGAACATGTCTGTGTATGCATCTGTTGGTGGCTATGTGCTTGTGAATCCTGAGTACGAGTGTCTGTGGAGGCCAGAAAAATGCGGTCCTCTGGAGCCTCCTGATATGGGTGCTGGAAACTGAACTCAGGTCCTCTAGAAGAATTAGTGTTCTTAACCACGGAACTTTCCCTCCACTCCTGAATTATTTTCTAAAGCTGATTTATTTATTTATTTATTTTTGGTTTTTTGAGACAGGGTTTCTCTGTGGCTTTGGAGCTTGTCCTGGAACTAGCTCTCGTAGACCAGGCTGGTCTCAAACTCACAGAGATCCGCCTGCCTCTGCCTTCCCAGTGCTGGGTTTAAAGGCGTGCACCACCATGCTTGGTTGACCTAGGCAACTTATAAAAAAAAAAAAAAAAAAGTTTGTTTGGGGATTGCAGTTTCAGTGGGTGAGTCCATGACCATTATAGCAGGGATCATGGTACCAGGCAGGCAGGCAGACATGGTGCTGGACAAGTAGCTGAGAGCTCATATCTTGAGAGCAATCATGAGGCAGAGAGAAACACTGGGAATGGCCCGAGTGTTGTTACCTTTATTTTAGGTATGTAAGTGTGTTTTCACATATGTCTGTGTACCTCATGCAAGCCTCAGGAATCAAAAGAGGGTGTCAGATCTTCTGGAATTATAGTTACAGGCAGTTGTGAGCTACCATGTGGGTGCTGGGAATTGAACCTGGGTCCTCTGCAAGAGCAACACGTACTCTTAACTGCTGAGACAGCTCTCCAGTCCCTTAATTAAAACCCAAAAAACAAACAAACAACCCCCCCCAAACAGATTATCCATGATGACCAAGTAAGAATGAATCCATAATTATAAGATTAGTTTCAAAACAGGACATTAGCCAGGCTTGGTGGCCTAAGCCTTTAATCCCAGCACTTCAGAGGCAGAGGCAGAGGCAGGTGAATATGGATGAGACCAGTTTGGTCTACATAAAGTATCTCAGGCCAGCCAGGTGTATACTGTCTCAAAAATAAAATCAAATAGGCAATTTACTTAATATGCCATAGCATTAAAGTCTAAAATACTTTGAGATCATTTCAATATTTTGAGGAAAAGCATTTTTACAAAATCCAACTTTCATTCTTGATACAAATCCTCAGAAACCTAGGAATAAAAGGGAATGGCTTTGAATGACTAATGTACAATAAAACCATAGCAAACAGCATACTCTGAGGTAACATTGACTTACCTGAAAGCTGAAAACAGGGTGTCTATTTGGGAGGAGAGGGGAAGACAGGGTTTCTTTGTACTGGAATTCACTCTGTAGACCAGGCTGACCAGCTGACCAAGCTAAGAGATCTGCTTGCCTCTGCCTCCTGAGTGCTGGGATTAAAGACATACACCACCATGCTTGGCATAGTACAGATTCTAACAAGGGAAGCAAGGGGAGGAAAAGATATGTCTAAGAAAGGCCCTATGTTGAAACTACACAGGTTGGAAGGCAAATATTCTTATCTTTATTTGCAGCTGAAAATTAATGTTTCTAAGAAATCATTACAAAAAAAAATCTACAAAAGGGTTAGCTGGAGAGATAGCCCAATCCAGCATATGACTGATTTGCCCAAATAAACCATATTTCCATACATTCACAATAAACTGTTCAGAGAAGAAATACAAGAGACAATTCTTTTCACACTATCATAAGAAAGAATAAAAATCTTAGGGATATATTTGACAAAAGAAATCTAAGACCTATGCAGTGAAAGCTACAAAGATTCTCAGGAAGTCAATTGGGATGACTTAGGCAAAATCACCTGTCCACACAAAAAACAGATGCAATGCTTCACCCTAGAATTCCAGCACTCCCACAGCAAGATGGGAGGCAAAGACAATTACCTGGAGGCTCTTGTGTGAGACCCTGCCTCAAAAACAAGACGGAAGTAGAGAACCAACTCCAAACAAACAAATAAATAAATCTGTTTTAAAGGTTATCTGGAGCCAGGCATCTGTGGTGCACACCTTTAATCCCAGCACTTGGGAGGCAAAGGCAGGCGGATCTCTGTGAGTTCGAGGCCAGCCTGGTCTCCAGAGCGAGTGCCAGGATAGGCTTCCAGAAACCCTGTCTCGAAAAAAACAAAAAACAAACAAACAAACAAACAAAAAAGGTTATCTGGAGTAATTAAAGTGGGACCCCCCCCAGCTCAGGGAATGGTGCTATCCACACTTCTTCTAGCTTGGGCATTATGGTGCACACTTTTAATATATGCAGGCAGGAGGCAAAGGCCAGTGAATTTCTATCAGTTCTAGTCCAGCTTGGTCTACAGGATGAGTTCCAGGCCAGTCAGGGTTATAAGAGTGAGACTGTCTCAAAAAAAAAAAAAAAATACCCAAACTAAAACACTAGGGGAGGGGAAGTCTTCCCACTTCAATTGGTGATAATCCCCCACAGACAAGACTAAATGTCCATCTCTCAGGTGATTCAAGATTTTGTCTAGCTGGGTGGGTGGTGGTGGTGCACACCTTTAATCCTAGCACTTGGGAGGCAGAGACGAGGCCAGCCTGGTCCGCAGAGTTAGTTCCAAAGCTACAGAGAAACTTTCTCAACAACCACTACAGAAAAACTTTCTCAACAACCCCCCCCCCCAAAAAAAAAAGATTCTTTCTGTTGACAATTAACATTAAACATCACATGCACTTTTTTTTTTTTTTTCAAAGGGAAGGCCACATGTAGCCCACACTGCCTGGAATTTACTATCTAGCTGAAGATAACCCTGAACTCCTGATTTTCCTGCTTTTACTTCCCAAGGGCTGGGATTATAGTCGTGCAGCACTGTGTCTGTGTCTCTACTACAGTTCTAGTTGGAGTCACAAAGATGTACCTTAGCAGAAGGGCAAATGTACTCTACCCCTCCATCAGAAGATTGTGGCAGGCACATGAGAGGAGCAGAGGGTTACAACCATGTTTGAAGATGATCTGGGGATGTGGCCACCACAGACACACACAGACACAGACACAGACACAGACACAGACACAGACACAGACACAGACACAGACACACACACACACACACACACACACACACACACCACATTGCTTGCTTTTCCTTAGTGTGGCTGTTTTCTTCAAGCCCCTAAAGAGACTAGGCTGCCTGACTACTTTCTTTGATTCTTATATAAGATTTATTTATTTATTTATTTATTTATCTTGGTTTTTCAAGAAGGGTTTCTCTGGGTAACAACAGCCTTGGCTGTCCTGCCTGGAGCTTGCTTTGTAGACTGGGCTAGCCTTGTACTCACAGAGATCCTCCTATCTCTGCTTCACAAGTGCTGAGATTAAAGGCATGTGCCACCATGGGCTGGCATAAATTTTAATTTAAAAAATTTATGTGCATGTGTGTTTTGTCTGTATGTATGTCTATGTACCACATGATATGTGGTGCTCACAAATATCAGAAGCAGGTGTTCGATTCCCTAAGAGCTGGGTTACAGATGTTTGAGAGCTGCCCTGCCAGTGCTGTGAATTGAACTCAGGTCTTCTGGAATAGAAGCCAGTGCTTGTAATTGAGCCATCCCCCCAGCCCATAGTTTCCCTTTTTCTCTCTTCTCCCTCTCGCCCTTTCTCTCCATTGTCCTCTTCTATCCTTTTTTTTTTTTTTTTTTTTTTTGGTCCATCCCCCCCCCTCCACTCTGAGGTAAAGGAGGTCAGACAGGGTGGCTGGGGTGGGCCTGGCTCTGCGTGGAGTAGAGGCAGTGTTTGAAAAGTGTTGTGTAATTCACCCTCTCCTCCAGGAGCTCAAGAATCCTCTGGACAAACTTCAGAAGCGAGTGAAGTACAAACTACAGACAGCGATGACATCATAGTGACACCCCAAGCTCAGGCGTGTCCTAAAGCCGTAAGTTCCTGGGGTAACCACTGCCTGTTAGAGAAGGGTAACTAGTAACACAGTGCTTAGGACCTACATGTGTGAGATGCAAATCCAGCTTCAAAAAGCCTGCGGAGAAATGCAAGGTGCGTGGAAAGTGTATCTGTGTGACGGGAGACCTGTTGCTATGGTGATGAAAGTGTGTTCTTATTTTGATATAAATGACAACTGAGTGCAGCACTTCTCTTTCCTGTTTGGATCCCTGGCCACTCATGTCCTTCACTGTGGACTTGTTCTTAACCAGCTCGTCTGAGGCCATTTTTCAGGGGAGCAGACTTCTTGTAGGAGATGGAGACTACAAGAAAGGAAGGGATTCTTTGTGGAGGGCTCAGAGAATGTTTCAGTTTCTACAGTTTTTGACCCCCTCCGCCCTCCCTTCCTCTATCCTTCCCTACTTCCATCCCTCCCTTTCCTTCTCTTCTTCCTTCTCCTCCTCCTTCTGCTCTCTGTGGTAGTTTGAATAAGAATGGCCCCCATTGGCTCATATATTTGAGTGACTGGTCACCAGGGAATGAACTATTTGAAAGGATTAAAAAAAGGATTAGGAGGTGTGGTGTTACAATGAATCCTTCTGCCAAAAGCCCCCACCAAAAGCCACCCGAGCCCACGTGGGCAGTCTCCACCAGCCATCTGAGTTCTGCCTGCCCGAGTTAGGGCCCAAATTAATGCACAGAGACTTATATTAGGTCCAAATGCTGCTTGGCCAATGACTAGGATTCTCATCTGTTAGCTCAGTCTTAATTATCATAAATCTATATATTTTATATATAAGACTTATCTTATTGGACTCCTTCTACTGGCGTCCTCACTTGCCGGTGGATCACATTGCACGGCTGGAGGAAGAGTGGAGGGGGAAAGGGGCCACTTCCTGTTTGTCCTTGCTTAAATTTGAGTCTCCTTGCTATGTCACTTCCTGCCTGGATCACCACTTCTCTACTACATGTCTCAGGATCCTCTTTGACTCCTAGTCCCGCCTAACTTGCTGACTCATTGGCCAAACAAGTACTTTATTCAACAATCGATAAGATGAACATACACAGTACATTCCCCATCAGTGTGGCCTTGTTGGAGGAGATGTGTCCCTGGAGGTGGGCTTTGAGGTATCAAAAGCCTATGCCAGACCCGTCCTGTGTCCCTCCCCCCCTCTTGTGGATCAGGATGTAACTTCTTCATCAGCATCACACTTCTTCCTTCTGGAAAGAATAGGCAGGGTAGTTATTGGTGGTTGGCTTTAAAGACCCTCCCTGGTGGAAGGGTACCATGGCTTGATGTTGGCTGCCTGCCACACTGAAGGAGGGGCTCATACTTGCTTGTATACTTTTGGAAATTAGACAAACATCAGTCTTCTACCTGACAGCTCTTGTGCCATTGTAGACAAAGAACAATGAAAAGAGAGGATGGTGTGACAGTGATTTTGAAATGGAGCTGAAGCAGAGCAGATGCTCTGTGGTGGCCTGGTGGCCTTCTTTTTGGCACATGTCTAGTTGAGCTCTTTGCTATAGTGACTGAAGCTGCTATAACTCAGGGAAAAATGCAGGTGTAAGTTTTATTGAGAAAGCTATAAAGCCATCTTTTCAGAAATCACTTTTCTTTATCCTTTGTATGTATGTATGTGTGTGTTTTACTGAAAAAAATGGTTTTTTTCAGACAGGGTTTCACTGTTTAGCCTCGACTGCCTTGGAACTTGCTCTGTAGATCAGGCTGGCCTTGATTGATCTCAAAGATATCTATCTGCCTCTGCCTCCTAAGTGCTGAGATTAAAGGCATGTGCCACCATGCCTAGCCTAGTGTGTGTGCATGTGTGTGTGCGTGCGTGTGTGTGTGTGTGTGTGTGTGTGTGTGTGTGTGTGTGCATGTGTGTGTGCATGTGTGTGTGCGTGCTAGCCTTGAACTTGGGATCTTCTTGCCTTGGCTTCCCAAGTGAACCACTACTCCCAGCTTCGTTCTTTGTGGAGATAGCCAGGAATAATGACTTGGGAGGAGATAGAAACCAGATTCTCCTTACAAATTTCCCAGTGACTCTGGCAGTTTCGTCAAGTTGTCTGTAGGTAAATGTTTTGCCTGTGAATTGTCAGTCATGACTTCTTATAGTGTGCCATGGTGAGTTTCTAGAGAGTATTGTGTTAACACTGAAGCCACATTAACCTTTTGGAAATCAATATTTCCATTTCAGGATTCAGAGAAGATATGCATTGAGATTGTCTCCCTGGCCTTCTGTCCAGATGCTGATGTCATGTTTGATGAGAATATACAGCAGGTATATGTGGAGTACAAATTCTGTGACCTGCCTCTCTCCGAGACAGAGACTCCAGTGTCCCTGAGGAAACCAAGGGCAGGAGAAGAAATCCACTTTCACTTTAGCAAGGGTGAGCTCTCCCTTGCTGTTTACCAAAGTAGTATATGCATATGGCTTGAAAATATCAAGTAAGCCTGAAAAAACAGGTTTTAATTAAGCAGTATTTGTTCCACAGCTTCTCTACAAATCATTCTTCCTGCCCCATCCCATGACTGAACTCTCTGTAATGATTTTTTTAACCTTTTCAGCTATTTTAAAAATTTACTCATATATTTAAATAATATTTCCACTGAAATTTTATGATATACTACTAATAATATTCCTGTCTCAGCTAAAATTTTTAAGCTATCTTACTCTACATCCATGTCCTTCACTCCCACACAATTGTCATAATTTTATTTCAATTTTTATTATTTCTGTTATTATAGAATATATATTAACTTGTGGCTGCTCTTGGCTAACACCAAGTCTGAGGATAGAGCGAAAGCCTGGAGATTTGGATGAACGACAAGACACCTGGTCCTTTTCTGAGAGAATGTCTCTCACCTTTATTGTGGAGCAGCCTTATATACAAACTTACAAAATCCCCAGGTTAAAGGGTTCACAACAGGATATTGATCCCAATGGGGTGAGGTCAGGAAAACAGGAGGTACCTGTGGTTATGCTGGAAAACAACTCTTAAGAGACCCCATGGGGGCTGGGTCCCAACATTTCCCCCTTATATATAACAAAACAGTTATCAAGAACTATAAGATTTCAACCATTTTATCTTAGTGTGTTAACATAACCATCTATCTTTAACTCTATCAAAGACCATAGAAGGATAATATATAAACTCTAGAACTGACAGAGACATCTTGCTTCCTAGACAGTCACCCAAAGTTTTTTGGTAATGTTGGCCTACAGGCCACATTGTGTCTGGCAGACTTCTCAGCAAAGCAGGAAATTCTAAACTGTCACCTGCATTGGCAGTTTGTTCTTCACCTTTTTTTCTGTGTCTTGTAGAATGTCTGGCAGACTCTTTTCATGAAGCAGGAACCCTTTAGGACTGTCCATCCTGTTTTAGCAGTCACATTTTTGTGGGTCCTGCATGTCTAGTTTTATAAAGCAACAGTTAAACAGTTCAGGCAAAGGCAGCTTCTTGCCCAAATGGCTAGTCTTACCATGTCAAAGGCAAACTCTTTAACGAGTTTCTTCTATGCCCATCTTCCTCTCAGATGTAATTGGTGTACCAGGAGCAGTTGTGTCTCACTGTCAAGAAAAACCTTAACCCATTTAAATGCCATATATTCTGTAGGTCTTTGAAAGGTTTGAAGAATATCTATATATCTAGAAAACCTAACTAATATCAACAAATGAAGTTCCATTCCAATACAAAGTATCATTTCTATATCATATCCCTCCTTTTTCCTTTAAAAAGTGACTGACCAGTACCATTTCTAACCAACTAAATTTAAATGAAAACAAATATTCGGATCACCTGGGCCACTGCCTCAGGGGGTCCTGCCCCATAAAACCATACCAGTCTGGAAGGAATCCACAGTCCTTCACCCTCCAGGGAAACAAAAGCAGAAATTTCCCTCCCAAGTAATCTGTACTTTAACAACTGTTGCTCCTTCCCCAGCAATTAAACGATTTAAAGACAACACAATAGCATTCTTTTGTTAACAGCCACACATTTATGATGACATTTCATACACACATGTGGTCACACCATACATACAGAACAAAATTCACAAAGGAGAGGAGGTGTGGGGCAGGATGACCATCCTTGTCATTGCTTGGCATCTTTGGAGGGTCTTGAGGACTGTCGCATCTTTGTCCATTTCATATGGTCTTTTGTAGGGCCTGGGTCTTTTTTTTTATCTACTTGGACATATTCTATCCTAATTCTCATCCAATGTGACAGATGATGTGGATGGACTCTGTTTTGGAGCTGGGTCACTGGGGACAGGGGATGAAGACACTGGGTTCTGCATAGGGACATAGTTCTCTTCACTGTCTCCAGAGTCTGTGTTGGTGATGCTTTGTGTGGGGATGGAACGAACCAAGACTTAGTGACAGGAGACTTGAAAGGAAGTTCATTGATGACAGCATTGTTTTTCAGGTTAAAGGGTGGTGGCTTTGCTTTTCAGCCAGGCTTGAGGTGCCGATTGACCGGGGGTGGCTGGATCTCACTTCCTCCTCTGGAGCCTCTATGAATAGGAAGGGCTGTGGATGGGTAGCCTTGTGGGTCAAAGTGATGGGACATTGTGCTCATGGGGATGTCAGAACCTGGGTTTACGGGCACATAGTTGTCGTCAGAGCTGGCACTGTCTGATCGACCCACGATAGTCTTTTCTGGAGATTTAGCAGACCAGCAGGTGGTTTCTCTGCCTTGTGTTGGATACTTGTAGTCACTGACTGGAGGTCTTTGTTGAGGGCTGCCCCACCGAGGTGTCTGTGCCTTGAAGGTGTCTGCCTCAGACCCTGTGAGGCTGCCCTTCGTGTGGCTGTGTGAAGCCAGGCTGGAGCTCTTTTTTGTTGAAGGTCAGGCCTACATCCAACTGTTTACAGAAGTTTAGGCTGATAATCCGTAGGGTCTTTTTGGAGTGTTCATTCTTATTGTATTCTAGAACATCTGGGTCACCATTCATCTGACCACTCCGCAGGATAAACCAGGGTTTCTTCCAAGCATAGTGCCCCAACTTTTTCTCAGGAGGTGATTTCTCCAGCCAGATGGTGCACACCACATCATTGCCAGCTAACTGGAGTGCGCAGCGGGCTTGAGTGGACAAGGGCACGGGCTGCTGGTGCACAGTTTATGGGGGAGGGAATTCCCCAGAGGAGGATTTCTCATATTTCTTTAATAATTTTCTTAGCATTATTTCTGAATCCAAAGTTAAAATGAAATCTTACCAGTACCTTGTCTCTTTAAACTTTCTCTGTGTGATTGACTGTGATCTCTATTCCAAGCCAACTCTCTTAGGAGTTGAGGCACCCCTTTTCCAGCACCTTTCCAATCCAACTTTCTTAGGAGTTGAGGTACCCCGTTTTCATTGCCTTTCCAATCCAACTCTCTTAGGTGTTGAGGTACCTATTTTCTAGTACTTTTTGTCAATCCAACCCTCTTAGGAGTTGAGGCATCTGTTTTCTAGTACCTTTTGCAATCCACCCTGACAACTTCTCACTTGCTGGCCAGCCTTCTGAGGGTGATCTCTCAGGGTCCCCTTTTTCCCAATCTTGGTGGGACCTCCACTTGTGGCTGCTCTTAGCCACCACCAAGTCTGAGGATTGGGCAAAAGCCTGGAGATTTGGATGAACGACAGGACACCTGGTCCTTTTCTGAGAGAATGTCTCACCTTTATTGTGGCTAGCCTTATATACAAACTTACAAAAACCCCAGGTCAGAGGGTTCACAACAGGATATTGATCCTAGTGGGGTGAGGTCAGGAAAACAGGAGGCACATGTGGTTATGTTGGAAAAAAACTCTTAGAGACCCCATGGGGGCTGGGTCTCAACATTAACTCTTGCAGTGCTAAGTACCTTCACTTGCTTTAGTTTTCCTTCTTTTGATATTTCCTGCCCGCCTCTGCATCTAGAATGCTGGGATTAAAGGAATACCTTACCGTGCCTGGCTTGGTTTCTTATTTTAATAGGTGTTTCTCAGTAGCTTTCACAGGAATGGATATTGGAAGTAAATAGATATTTTTGGAGAAAGTTAGGCATGACATATTTTTCTACTCTCCTATTGGATATGTGGTCCAATATATTTGGTATACACAACACACACACACACACAACCACACACACACACACACACACCCACACACAAGGCAGGCAGCCACAGATAGTATGCACACACACAATTTTAGCTATTTTCTTTTTAAATTTTACTTAGGCTTTATTTATCTATCTACTTATCTATGTTTTTTTCAAGACAGGGTTTCTCTGTAGCTTTGGAGCCTGTCCTGGAATTTGCTTTGTAGACCAGGCTGCCCTCCAACTCACAGAGATCCACCTGCCTCTGCCTCCTGAGTGCTGGGATTCTGCCACCATTGCCCAGCAGTTAAGATTTATTTTCATTTCATGTTTGGGTATTCTTCCCACATGTATGTCTGTTCATCACAGGCACGCAGTGCCTGCAGAGGTCAGAAGAGGGCACTGGGTCCCCTTAGAAATAGAGATAGTAGTTAGCCATCATGTGGGTGCTGGGAATTGAACCTGAAACCTCAAAGCTTTTCACCTTTGAGCCATCTCTCCCACTCCAATTTTAGCTATTTTCTGTTTTGGCTTTTCGAGATAGGGTTTCTCTGTGTAGCCCTGGCTATCCTGAACTTCTTTTGTACACCAGGATGGGCTTGAACTCAAGAGTTCCACCTGCCTCTGCCTCCTGAGTGCTGGGATTAAAGGCACGCACCACACATCCGCCTTTTTTTTTTTTTTCCCCTGAGACAGGGTCTTACTATGTAGCACTGGCTGTGGTGGAACTCACTGTGTAAACACCAGGCTGGCCTCGAATTCAGAGATTGGCCTGCCTCTGCCTCACAAGTGCTGAGACTAAATGTGCAGCACGTCACTGCTATCAACTGGATTTTAGCTATTTACAATAAAACCTTATGAAACAGGGAGCCAACCTATAGGTCTTCTTTGCCTGTGTTTACTTTGTATCCCTGAAGGATATAT